TCCCTTTCACTATGACACGACCAACAAACAAATCCGTCACTGTCAGACAAAGAAGGAATTAAAGTTTGAGACTTTTCTGTCGATAGAGGCTACAATTTTGTAAGCCATTAACCACTCTTCTACCAGAGCAGCTCAGTAGTAAAACACTTGTGAGATTCGAAGCTTTTATGGTGATGCGAAGCTGTAGAGTCTAGCGAAAAGTTTATCATCGATGTTTCGGAGGAACCTATTGGTCTCGCGTAGCCAAGCCTCCCCACAGACGTCTGTTGTTTATTTAACGACGCTCTCTGTAGCTCTGACTAATCGAATGACTGGAAAATAATAAATAATATACTGCGTCGAAAGAAGTGGTAGAGACTTAATTTCAGGTACTGGCATCTGAATTTGCATTTGTGTAATGATAACAGGCATCGGGGAATTTCTGCCCCAATGTCACTTCTTATACCCGGTTCCCACATGGACTCACCAGGGATGGAACAAGGGCCACTGAATAGAGACGCCGGTACGTAACAGCTTAAACTATGCACCGGCAATTAAATACGCAATGTGATGCATATGACCATTGCTAGGCAACGGCTCGGTAAACACATTCCCGAGGTTACGCTGTCAATAGTCGAAGGACATCCGAGACACGTTTCCGCAACAACAAATAAGCACACACAAATAGAGGAACTGTTGGAGGTGATGATTTCTATTCAGTCCATGCCGAAGTTATAAAGGGAGGACACGTGAAATCGCTCAGTCAGTTAAGAAGCTGTAAGAGAACTGAGACAGGAGAAAGAAAATGGAGCAAGTCCTCGACAGTAGATTGATTGTGAGCTATTGTAATTGATTGTAATTAAGAGTGATTTTAAAAGAAGGCGACAATAAATCCAATCATACAATCCGGAACCAGTTATTATTAGTCACGGAGGACACATGACTTTTTGGTGTCAGAAGTGGATACGACCATAAACAAGTGACAGTATTATACGTTTAATAGTGAGAATAGTTACAATCAGTTTCGATTCATTCAATGCCGCTCCTTGAAACGTCAGAATTTTATGGTATCTGAACCGGAATTGTTGAAGTTTCATTATCTTCGCACTGTCGCATAAAGCCTTTGATGTAAAACGTGTCATAGAACATGATGCAGTACCAACGACAGCGAAATATGTGAGCTGTAATCGACATTGCAACGCTGGGGGACACTTCCTGCTATTGGCGGAACACTTGGGAGTAACGTCATCCAATTTGAAATGTTCACCCCAACTTCGATGGGGGGGTGGGGGGTGCGGGGAATTGCGAAGCTTTGTGAAATATATCACTAACAGCGGAGAATATACCCTTTTTGCTCATGTTTTTTTTTCTAATGTCCAAGACTAACGCATTAATAATCTAAAAGAATGCAATGTGATGACAATGTTTGAATAACTGTGAAGTCCCTTCTGGGCCAGTGGGGCTTTCCTTCATTGATTTTTTGCCTGTTTCAACAACCACAATAAAAAGATGAAGGTATCCCTGTAACACGCCGTCAAGGCTCCCACATTCTCTGGACAATCGGCTCACAGATGGCGGTGAGGTCAGCCTTACGTGCCGGCCGGCCTGTCTCCCACGAAGATTTCTGATACTCATTTCTGTTAGAGGCTGAGTCAACTCCAGTGTCATAATGCGGCTGGAAGGATTAGGTCAACTGAAAAATCCAATGACTTAATCGGGAATTGAACCCGTGACTTTCAAGTTTAAAATTTAAGACAAACATGCTCACGAGTTTGCAATGTTTTAGGGGTCTCGAAAATCATAACCAACCTAGAGATGAGGAAACTATATAGAAAACTTGTATCTACTCGTAGTAGAGGACATTGAAGAAAGAACTTCGGAGTGACTTAGACATACGCTCACAATAGTTCAAACAGGGTGGGGGTAAGAACGTTGTTGACAGTAAGCCACACGTTATACGAAAATTAGGAAGCCCCTGAATAAGATGGCTGTGGATGTGGAGAATGATTTACGAGAGCTGCATATGAAGAAATTGAGGCAAGAGACAAATAACAGAATTGAGTAAGAATCTGTCGTAAAGGAAGTCAAGGCAGATTCAGAGTCAGGGAGTAAGTACATAAATAAGAATTGGAAAAGTTTTATGTTATTGCTGAGTACTATACTTTGGGACACAACGTCGTGTAGTGTGGTAGTTTACCGACGTTTCGGAGGAACTTATTGCTTCTTAAGTTCAGAGTCGAGACTGGGACTAAGTAAACAAACAGAACAAAGGAAGCAACATGCAAAGCGCACATTTTCCATTGTTGAGATTTCTCATTCTTGTACATTGAATCTCGAGACAGTAAGTTACAACAAAACACATGTTAACATTTACCAGACCATAAGGCGTCACATCCAAAATGACTCCACTCTTACGTGATTATGACAGTAATAACCTCAAATCGAAGTTTTATATCACTGTTTCCTTACTGCACATTTCAAACAAAAGACCTTATATACAATATTCTCTGTAAAATCTAAAGCAACAATTGACATAAAGCAGATTGAAACCCGTGTAACCGGAAACGTTTGCAGCGCCTCAAGTCGGTAGCAATTAGAACTACACCTGAGAAATGTACATACAGTTGAGAGGGTTACCGGAAATTTGATGCGAGTGAGAGGAATAGATTAATAGGTAACAGGATATGACGTAAGTAAGTACAGTCGTCTTGATTAAGTTCAGGTGCCGCTTGCCTTCCTTGAGGAAGTGGAATCCCACGCTGTGTTCGTCTTGTGTATCGGATCAAGTTGTTGCAGGTTGGAGGGGGGGGGACGAAAAGAAATGGCATAATAAATTCCACCATCTTGGTGTGGGAATGTGATGGAGCTAAATTTATGGAAATTAAATTAAACTTTAATTACAGTTCCAAAGAAAAGACATTTGAACATGGATGAGGCTTTTAAAGCTAAATCCATAAACGGCAACAAAATAACAGTAATTAATGTTGCCTATATAATTTTCGAAAGAATTAATTATATACACTGAGGTTAAAGTAAAATCTTCGCCGTACTTAATTAAGCACCATGCAATGAAGACCTTCACAAACCCCAAACTCGTTATTAGACAGAGGTTACTGGTCATCTTCACGCCCCGGCCTCTTCACCTCCGTCGAAAGAGGCTCAATTTGATAGGTGGCTCTGCTGGTCACATAGCCGGTACAGATGCTGTGAATAATCTTTCGAATCCCGTTTCGCCGGCCATCCATAATGTAGTCACTACATTAACTGAGCCATACCGGCTATAATTTAATATCATTTACTTTGAACCCAGTGTTACATATGCCATTAATTTTTTGCGTATGTTTCAATCTTTGTCGATACGATAGCAATTCACTGAAGAAAGATATGTTTCGCTATTGAATTCACGGGTTTCAGTTTAATTCCCTCATCCATGAGCGATTAACTACGCACTTATGTCTCAGGTTCTTTGCGTTATGAGGGAGTTAGTGTAATGCACAACGAAACAGGGGCATGAATAGTTCCCTAGTTTAACGGCTCGAGAACTAGTTCTATGGACCAGAGTCCTTTACACACTAACAGTTGCACAGCCGGTCAAGAATTCTCAGTATTTTACAGAACCCGTAGTTCCGCTACCTTGTTCACTGAACCACACAGATCCAGTCCACACACTATCAACTATTTTAATATTATACTTTGATCTAAGTCTACGTCTTCCAAGCCGTTTCTTCCTTATGGTTTTATCTGCCAAAACTTTATCCGCTTTTCAATCTCTCGCATGCGTGCTACATGACTAGACAACATCATCATTTTTTTATTCGATAATCCTAATAATATTTGGCGAGGAATATTGATTATTGTTTCCTCACAGCTGGGCAGCACTGTACTAATGAAAATAATTTTTGTTCGAAGTACGGACGTGGGACGTCTACAGATAAGACTAGGAGATAGTTAAACGTTTTTGTTAACGCGCTAAAAGTTATGACACTTTTCACACTCGCAGCTACCTTTAATAATTTTTAAGGCGAAGTATTAAGTATTACACTTGAAGCCGGAACAGGCTAGACAGCCTAATCCATAAGAATGTTTACTGCCTACTTACTTCAACTGCAGGAAGTTCTTAATTACGAAATGACGACAATGAATCTAAAATATTGTGCAGTAAATGCAGACATTAAGAGTAATTGGCTCACAGAGCCGCCAGACGTAAAGTGTGGTCATGAGCCCCGTGGAGATCGGAACCAAGAATCACTGTGCTGGCGAGGACCAGCAGCAATTTGGCAGTCAGTCTTTAAAGGGTTAATCCCACGACGAGGGGACAATAAAACACAAGAAGATTACTGTATTTTGGGATGTGACGCTGTGCAATCTGGTAGAACGTTATGAACGTTTCGAAAGAACATGCTGACTCCGTGTTCAGGGTAAAAAATACAAGTATTAAGAAATATAGTACGGATATAGGGGGTGGACAGGAGCCGTGAGTGAAACAGTAAGAGTAAACAGAACAATGAGAAGAAAAATGAAAAATAAAGAATCCGTCCCTGAAGATGGAAGCAAGAGGTTTCTCCGAATGGTTAGTAAAGTTCTATCAGATAACAGGGCGTCATATAAGACATTAATCTTCATAATAATCGCCATGGGAACCACAAGATTCGCTATGAAACACTTGTCTCCATGTCATCAGTGGGGATATCAGCTCATTTCGAATAAAACTTTATTCGGGATGAAGCTCTTCGTGGTTTTTCTCAGTTCTTTCGGTCAAATGCTGCAGTAACACCTCCCTTAGGCCACCACAACTTCCAAATCTTTCCATAAGAAGCTATATATAGCATCAATACAGAGAGCGTCGTTAAACCACTCATTTAAATGCGTATTACGCAAATTCTCATATTGAAAGTTGAAATTTATAAATTATAATTTTAGATTGTCTACTGAAGTACCTTTCTTGAAGGTCAAGGTTTGTGCAAATCACAGTTTGAAAATCATCGAAAAGGTAAAACACAATAAAATAATTGCACGATACATATACGAAATCATTACCAATTTTTATTCACTACAATTAAAATATAAATTATAGTTTAGCGTTTATCAAAAACATTACAATAATTACATAACATCATATCAGCTACAGCAGCCAGTTGTCACAAAAAAAATATAATTTTTCTCAGGAAGCTTCAACTACGAGACAAAAAGAAACATTTCTCAAGATAAATATATCCTTTTTTTGTAAACAAAATTGTTAATTCAAGCATAATACAATAAGCTTAACATTTTGACACATTGCAACTGCCGCCAGACTATGTCAAGGAAACGCGACCTTTAATGAATGACAGAGAAGAAAATACTGCATTAGGGGTTTAATGAATAATTACAAAAATAATTTTACACAAGACAGATATACGTCACCTAAAATTAAGCTCGTGGCGTTCATTACTTACTGATGAACTCCACAAGCATCTGACACTAAGTGACGTTTGTTTTCTCACATCGCTCCGGTTTTAAAAAACACATGTCACGTATCATTCTTTGAGATTACACAAAAATTATGTGCAATACTGGCAACTCCGTAATATATTTCAGGACCAGCATTTTCTCTTCTCTCCTAAAGTCAAGTTCTCCAGTACCCTCACACGCAGTCCTAGTTCAAAGCTCGAAAAGCATAACTCCCAGGAAAATAGCGATTTTTGAGAAATGTGCGGGGTACAATAAATCGTTTGGCGCTGTGTGCATCGGAGCAAACTCGTGACAGTATTAAGAGAGTGCTAGCATGACTGGGTTTCTGAACGCTGCCCATCATGTAGCACTCCGAACGAGACAGTGTTTTGGGGACTGTATCTATTTCTGTCCTGGGATGAACACTGGTCTAGTCACAAAGAGCTACTCCCAGTCACTGGGCCAGACACAAAGAGCTGATCTCAATTACATGGAGCTAAGCTCAGTCAATAGACCAGTCATAAAGGGGTGTTCTCAGTCATTGGACAAATCAGAAAGAGCAAATCTCAATCACTGGCCCAGTTGGAAGCAGCTACACTGTCACTGGACTAGTAAGAAAGAGCAAATCTCAATCACTGGCCCAGTTGGAAGCAGCTACACTGTCACTGGACTAGTAAGAAAGAGCAAATCTCAATCACTGGCCCAGTTGGAAGCAGCTACACTGTCACTGGACGACTCAGAAAGAGCTAATCTCAATCACTGGACAAGTTCGTAGCAGCTACTCTGTCACCGGACCAGTCAGAGAAAGCTAATCTCAATCACTGGCCCAGTTGGAAGCAGCTACTCTGTCACTGGACCAGTCAGAAAGAGCAAATCTCAATCACTGGCCCAGTTGGAAGCAGCTACACTGTCACTGGACCAGTCAGAAAGAGATAATCTGAATCACTCACCCAGTTTGAAGCAGAAAAAATCTCAGTCACGGGGCCAGTCCAAAAGAGAAGCTCTCAATAAATGTACCAGTGATTACAGTGATAACTGATCGAACTAAGTAGATGCTCGAAGATTGAGTTTCAAATGCTGCGTTCTGTTCGGAACATTGGGACAGTGGACGAAGTCCAGAAACCCAGTAACCGTTAGCGGAATAGGCCTATAGCATTGTAAACACTTAGAAGTGAGAAAGTGTTATAAATAAATGTTTTGTAACAAATAAAGTTTTCAATATTTTCCTGAAACAAAAAGTATTATCACAATTCGTGAGATCATGGCTCGCATTTCTGTGAGGGTATGAGAGTACGCTTTGTTAAAGCCTGAATGAGCCTACTGCTAAACTGAGTCTTATATATATATTTTTTTTTCTGCATCTGTTACGTGTGTATATTTTTTCAAAAATTTGTTGTTATATATTCTTTATTTGGAAATCACATTCCAGACAGTAACATCTGTATAAAAATAATTTTCTGTGCGCTGCAACGTGTTGATATTTTGCTAAATTTTAAAATTAAAAAACTAAACCCAGTTACGAAACACTGCGCAGTTTCAAATATTATACAACGACAAATTTATCAACTGGCCGTTTAAGAAATACTTTCTTCGAAGAACTCAGCTTTTTATCAGAGTAAGTGAGAATGTGTTTGAAGGTCACTTGGAGGTCGTTGGCGGTGTTGTCTTGGTAGAACCGGGATCTGTCCCCACTGTTGATATCCTGCCGCCGGCCGAACTGCTTCCCGCACCCAGATCTCCGCTGTTGCTGCCACTGGAACCATTTCGGTCATACAGATATGAGATGTATGATGTGGGGCCTCTGTACCCCGGCGGGCCGCCTCCAACACCACCGCCCCACGACGGAGAGAACCTGTCCCCATAATCCCGTCCAGAAGCGCCGTCGTAGTAGTATTCTCTGTAATCGACATTTCCTGGTCCGCTACATGAAGAAGGAAGCCTGCCATTAGGACGAAACTCCTTCATAACTCTTAAGAGGGAACTTAAGATAATTCTATGGGTTTTCTATCTTAGGATTGTAGAGTTTTTGTGGATGATGACATCGTTCAGTCTTGTAGGTCCCTGATCTGGCAGTAAATATTCAATATTACTGGTTTCCCCACCGAAGTTCTATATGCATTCTGCGTCACCCCCATGCGTGCTACATGCCCTGCCCAACTCATCCTCCTTGACTTGATCATTCTAATTATACTTGGAGAAGAGTACAAGTTATGAAGCTCCTCATTATGCAGTTTTCTCCAACCTCCTGTGACTTCATCTCTCTTCGGTCCAAATATTCTCCTCAACACCCTGTTCTCAAACACTCTCAGTCTGTGTTCTTCCCTTAATGTAAGAGACCAAGTTTCACACCCATACAGAACCATAGGCAAAATTACAGTTTTGTATATTCTAATTTTTATGTTTTTTGACAGCAGACAAGATGACAAAAGGTTCTGGTTGAACGGTAGCAAGCATTACCCGAGTTCAGTCTCCTCTTAATTTCCTCCTGAATCAAATTTTGAACTGTTTCTCTCATTCCCAAATATCTGAACTGTAACCCATTTTCAGCCACACAGAAGAGGGTGATGTAAATGAAGTATCTTTGTAGGCAGTTACAAATGTTTCAGAGGAATATACTTGATCTATCTTCAAGGTACAAGTGAAGATGAAGGCAGAAGATTCTTCCAAAATATTAATACATACAAAACTACATGGTGTTATAACCAAGAAAACCTCAATATAAATATTCGCCATTTTGGTTAGTCCAAATCTCACGTTTCTCTTTCGTCATGGCCTTTCGGTGTTCGTCTGGCTCAGAGACGGAGAGAGATGCACACACAAGCTTCATATTCGTGTCTTAGGGAAGAAAAATAGGCTAAGAATTAGGACTTTTAACTCACCCTCGATCACTCCAGCTTCCTCCTCCTGAAGGTGGATCTCTTCCCCAATCTCCGCCACCCCCGCCGCCCCTATAGCCTCCGTCACCTCGCCCGCCGTAGTCCCACCCTGACGCATACCCTCTGTCATAACCCCAGCTTCCTCGGCCACTACCTTCCCACCCCCTTCCACCACTACCAGTATCCCATCTCGAACCACCTCCGCCACCTCCGAATCCTCTATCATCCCACCTAGAACCACCCCCACCTGAAGACCATCTTCCTCCACTTCTGTCGTCCCAACTCCCTCCTGTAGAGGAACCCCTTTCGTCCCACCTGCCAGTTCCAGCACTTCCCCAGCCAGAACCACCACGGTTATCCCAACTGCCCGAGCTCCCCCTACTGTCCCAGCCCCCTCGATTATCCCCTCTTCCTCTGTCGTCCCAACTTCCAGAAGATCCCCTACGGCTGTCCCAACTTCCAGAAGGACCTCCTCTGTTATCCCAACTTCCAGAAGATCCCCTACGGCTGTCCCAACTTCCAGAAGATCCCCTACGGCTGTCCCAACTTCCAGGACCTCCTCGGTTATCCCAACTACCATAATAACCATCACGGCTATCCGAACTACCAGAATAACCCCCACGACTATCCCAACCTCCAGAAAGACTTCCTCGGTTATCCCAACTTCCAGAAGAACCTCTACGATTATCCCATCTTCCTGGGTAGCTTCCACGATTATCCCAACTTCCAGAAGAACCTCCGCGACTGTCCCATTTGTCTACAGAACTGCCAGAAGAACCTCTGTTATCCCATCCTGAAGATCCTCCCTTATCCCTACTACCCCATCCATCACCATAGCTACCGCTACTCCACCTACCTCCACTACCTTTGTCCCACCTGGACCCCGGTGGCATCCCGTACCCCAGGTTGTCATACCCATTGCCCCTGTCCAAAGTGCCGCTGCCACTCCCAGAACTGGGACACCGGATGCACCTATCCCAGCTGCTGGAGGAGCCCACTGGCTCCCCGGGCTGGCTCTGGTCCCAACTGGATGAGCCTGTGCCCCTCTGGTCAGAGTAGCCCGACCCGTAGCGGCTGTAATAGTAGCTGTCATCTCGTGTCGGTCTGTACAGCGAACCTCCTGCGACTGCCGCCAGGAGCAGCACTGTGCCTAACGTGACGAACCAGTTCCAGGAAGATGGCCGCTATTCAAAAGGAAAATATGAATTATCAGTTTTCTTTCTTTCGACGCCCTCTACACGACCCACGCCTGATGGAGGCAATACAGGCGAATTGCACAGTATGTGCCTCAATGTTTTATGTTCCGAAATTCGTGTACCGTAAATTATTATTGGGATGATCAAACAAAACTTGAGCGTACACAGCGGAAATGAGACATGCATACACAGTTGCGGTCAGAAACCATGAAAGGAAGACCTAGGCGTAGATGGAAGGATAATATGAAAATTTATCTTAATTCTTGGAAAAATGAGAGAAAGATAAAGAGAGGGGAGGAAGTGAGAAGGGAGGGTGTAGTGAGTGACACTACTTTTGGGCGGGAAGGGGGCAAGATTATTTTCTCTGTCTTTGATGGTTCCCAGAGAGTACTCGTTTGTCCTTGTGGTAGATGTAAATTCGAGGGAGGGTAAAACTTTAAGCTGGGCTGCTCTCAGTAAAGGGGGAACTCTGTTCCAGGTCAGCTATATACAAGGTGTCCCAAAAGTCATGAAATATATTTCTTTCCCGCGCTCCTACTGGTCGGAGCGCGCTGGAACCGGTTGGGTTAGGGGGGGGGAGGCCTTTAGCTTCACAGCGCGCCCAAGGTCAGTCTGCGCGAGCATCGGAGGCGTCAGTATCGCTGATTTAGTGCACCTGTGTTTTGTGACCACGTCACGGCGCGCGATGGCGGATACTTTCGAACAACGTTGGGCGGTCAATTTCTGCACAAAGCTCAACAAAAAAGCTGCCGAAACTCACGAACTGCTTAAGCAAGCCTACGGGGAGCCTGCTCTATCATATGTGCAAGTTACAAAGTGGATGAAGAAGTTTAAGGAGGGCCAACAAGGAGTGGAAGATGACCCCGCTCTGGACGGCCATCAGCAAGCCAAACCGATGAAAATGTGACTCGTGTGCGTGATCTGTTGAATACTGACCGTCGAATGACTGTCCGGTTGTTAGCCGACACTCTGAACATTCCAAAAACCGTGTGCATTGCATCGTTATGGACGAATTGAACATGCGAAAGGTGTGCGCCAAGCTGGTCCCCAAATTGTTGACGGACGAGGAAAAGGCCAATCGAGTGTTGATCGCGAGTGAATTGAAGGAACGTGTGGAAATTGAACCTCATTATTTAGACTGTGTTATTACCGGCGACGAAACGTGGACATTTGAGTACGACCCAGAAACGAAGCGCCAGTGTTGAATGGCACACCTCGGCTTCCCCGAAACCGAAGAAGGCGAAGATGAGCAAATCCAAAGTGAAAACAAAGTTCATCGTCTTTTTCGACGCCAAGGGTGTGGTCCACAAAGAGTTTTTACCCCAAGGACAGACCGTCAACGCTCCCTACCACGTGGATGTTCTAGAAAGATTAAGGAAAAGGGTCATCCGCGTGCGAAAAGACATCGCCGCTAACTGGCGGCTGCATCATGACAATGCGCCCAGCCACACGTCTCTGCTCGNGTGTAGATGCTCATGGACAGTACTTTGAAGAATATTAACACTTTGTACCGATATCATTAATAAATATAAAATATATATATATTTCATGACTTTTGGGACACATCTTGTATACTACGCGTGCCCTGTTACTGGGAAGAATGCTTTTCGGGTTATAATTTCCCCGATTTTCTTCAGAAAGGAAGACAGCGAAGAAGAACGAAGAACAAGATGGAAGAACAAGTTTGGAAAGCGTGCACTCCTCAAGGTAGTACACAACATTCATAACTTTGTGCCTTGAAATTTATGTTTACACATGCAAAGATCTCTCACACCGAATCTGACCAAAATTGGATTAACGGTTTATCACAAACGACGTGCACAATAAAGTCAATTCATGTCCTGACGTAAAGTGAACATATTAAGAGCCTACGCGCGGCCGAAATTCGGAATTCCCCAACGAATCCCAGTGACAGCCGCCCCCACCATACCGAAATGTAAAACCGAACTCGTTGGCTCAACCGATAAGCCTTCTGAATAGTATTCGGGAGATATCCATTCGAAACCTTCTATGAAAATATCGGACTCTTGCGTTAAATCAGGCAAAGACCAATTCCTTTCACTTCCTATTATTATTTACTCTCGACTAAACATTAAATGTTATAAAATATGGCAGCCTCGTTAAATAATCTAGAAACAAACGAATTAAAAAAATACATAGACCAGAAGACATGACCTCTATATCAAGTGTTCGTTTTTAAGTTGGGTTTATGGTTCTTACAGTTATGACTATGAAGTGCATTCTATTCTGGGATGTGACGCCGTGTAGTCCGATAGAAATTTACTGAAGTTTCGTAGGAACGTACTCTTTCCATATTCAGGGTATAGAAAGTAGGCCAAACAAGCAGGAAGTATGAGCTAAAGATAAAGACAATACGTTACTCCGAAACGTCGGCGAGCTTACAGCGGACTACACGACGTCACGTACCAGAAAGTGGTACTGATTTCCTTTCTTTAGAAGGTAAGGTGAAGCTATCCTTGTAACAGGCCGTGGAGGCCCCTAGGGTTCTGAGACGTCGAGGTTCCCACATTTCCTTTCGATAATCGTCTCACAGATGGCGGTGGGGTTGTCAACCGCCCTTTACCCCCTAGGAAGATTTCTGTTACTCATTTCTGTTATGGGCTGAGTCGAACCCAGGGCCATAGTACAGCTGAAAGGGTTAGATCAAATGAAAAATCCACTGTCGTCGTCGGGAATCGAACCCGCTCTTCCGACTTTTAGCGTAGTGCCCCTCTCCACACTGCTTTGTAAATAATTCCCAAATGACTCACGGGAAGGAATGAAAGCGAGGGAGGAAGATGGGGTGGTTTCTAGTCCTGTTTGATCCCCCAGACTGCAAAAGCCACCCCCACTGCTTGCTTTCATATGCTGCCAGCCATTACGAGCCCAAGTAACCGGGCTGGAAGCAGGAAGTGAGGTTAGGGCCAGTTTAACATTGATTGTTGCTAAGAAGCGAATGAGCAGCACATCGGCCTCGTCGGGTGCCTGCCTCGTAAAGTTGAAAGGGTCGTAAAAGGGAAAACATGAAATTTACGAGATCAAAAAGGAAGAGGCATATGCTCTATATCCATGTTGGATAAAAAGTGACTCAAACTTCATGCAGCAAGCTTACCAACAGAAGCGAGAAATAAATTAAACTGTCATCTAAGCATTATGTTGGCAACAGTCACAGACTTACTGACTCTTCTCTAATACTCAGTATTACTAAAGCAAGGAAATGCTTCTTAGCTTACTTAGGGATTTCAGTTGGGGGGGGGGCGGTCACGACGCTGTCAGTAGCTACACTATTTAGCATCGAAAAACAGGATGACAGATTTGAAAGGGTTTGGAAGGCTGTGGCCTAAACGAAGTATTATCCCACAATTTGCCTGAACAAACTAAAAAACTACGAAACATGAGTAAGGATATCCTACGTCCTTGCTGAGATTCGATCTCAGTACCTCTCATATACGAGAGACAGTCAGTAAACAGGTCACAAATGGAAGTAAAACAGCCGTAACTGATGAAATAGATTCTCTGTGTGAATCACTAGGTAGCAGCAAAGTCCAGCTTCATGAGAGTCTGGGCAGCAGACGCGCATGCGCATGTTCAGAGGCTAGTTTCAGTACTAAAAATGGCGACAGTGTTTGAAGCGTTTGAAGAGTGTTATTACCGAAGAGCAGCGCCGTGATGTGGGTTTCTGTAGGTATAAGGACTCAATACAAAGGACATTCATAAATAAATGTTTCCTGTTTATGGTAGGAAGTGTCTGTCGCGTAAAGCGCTTCACGACTGGGTCGAGAAATTCTCTCAAGGACATTCGAAAGTCGCAGATGATGAAACGGAGGTTCAGAAGTGGCTGAGCGAACAAACAAAAAAACTTAAATACTACGGGTTTCGACGCACTGGTAAAGTGACTGGTCACGTATATCAATGTTGGTGGAAGATATGTCGAGAAATAAATGCTTTTTAGGTTAGAGTATCATATGTTTTACGTTCTATATTGTGACGTGTATACCCATTGCTAGGCAACGACTCGGTTAAATACGCCTCAACAGAGAGATTGTTTTCTATGTGGTCCGCCCTGCGACCGTTGCTATGCAACGATGCGGTAAACACGCATAAAACAATACGAGGCAATAGAAAACGGTGTTTTCCATGGAGTCCGTGTTCTGCAGTATAAAGCAGTGGAGAACAGCAGTCGAGTAGAGTGAAGAGTCGAGTATTCCGTTGTAGAATAATGGCAAGAAAGCAATTAGACCATTTAAAGAAGACTTCAAGTGTGAATTGAAATGACAGTGAGACTTTGAAAAATCAGTTGCCAGGATACGACCAGTGACGACCGAGAACCCTAGTGCACGTGTAACGGTGAAGGGCAAAGTGTGTAGAACAGCGATAGCGCTGTATTGCCTGTAGTCCCGATTTGTGTGAATGTATAAGGTGTCAATAAATCCAATCATCCGATCCAAAACCTACTACAATCACTAATATACGTAACAATACCAATTTATGACCTATTTACGGCCTCTCCCTCGTATGAGTCACAATAGTTACTGCCAGACAATACTGATTTGGTCACATGTGAACACAAGACAGAAATCTTAATTTTTATCTTAATCAAATTTTAATCATTCCAAGCATAGAACAAGCTGCCTAGATTGCATTAGCAATATATGAAGTGCACCCCACATATCCCCCATCAAGTTTCATGTGCCTCTTGTTCGATATCGCTGCTTCACTCACTTGCTTTAAAGTGTTGCTTGCAGAAAGCACGCTCGCACCGTTCTGTGCTTCAGCACGCTTCCCGCGGAGTGGCTGTGTTATTATTAATATAACCTCGTGTCATGAGACAGCAATGCGGGAAGATTAATAAAATGAGGGCCATTAGTCATGAGACGTGTAAAGGGGAGAAAATATTTTGTAGCGCCCTCTGGTCACAAATAGCTGCAAGAAAATCGAAATGACAAGCCTTAGGAACGCCCCCAAACCGCCAACTTTATTCGCTCCAT